TATTTGTTTCTAGCCGTACCTATTGTGTAATAGAGTGTATCTGGTGGTATTTGAATCTGTTCAACCATGAAGCCTCCGTGGTCTAGTGGTTATGACACTCGCCTTGACAGCGAGAGGTCGCAGGTTCGAGTCCCGCCAGAAGCATTTTATTACACAATTTCTTTATTCATTTATTTACAGCACTACATTCGTTGAGAGCTATGCTACACGGTGTATTTATTAAGTCCTTTATTCGAACACTGTATTTACCTTTCTTTGATTATTTATATATGATTTAACAGTGTTAACGGCTACCTTGATTTATGTTATATGCATATATATATGTATGTATATAGGCCTATAGGCCTATATATATTGTGTGTAGTTCCACGTATGTTTTGATAATGTAAAATAAGTACGATTGCACAAAGTAGAAACGTAAACGTTGGCATTATAGACATAAATGTATTTTAGTACGAATATTTCGAGCACTTCTGTGGAATAAGTGTTATCGCTGAATGAGAGCACATCTACATAGAAGAAGATATCTACATTCGTCCTCCATTGTTTGTTGAAATGAAACATCCTGAGTGTTGAAACATCCTGAGTGTTGAAACAACTTGTAGGCCTACGCACACGCTGACCATTGAATATCGAGGCTGAACCAATGAAATCAACGACAATAATAGCCAAAGTAAATAAAATAATAGCCAAATATGTGCTGCCAAATACAGTGGCTACGGCAGCTGGCGAGAGAGAGTCATATAGGCCTTGTTTTTATTTCAAACGCACACGATGTATGCATAATTATGATAACCTTATAAACAATAGACATACTTGTTATTTTTGAAACGTTAAATTAGTCACAATACACACCTCCGAGTGTATATCCGAAAGGTGATAGGCCTACATTGATTGAACGCAGTTCGATATGCCGTCCATGCGTTACCCACCGACAGGTGATATTCAATACTCCCTTCAATGAACCCTTATAGCAATATGTAAGTCTTACCTTGGAATAAGCAAGCTATCAGCTCTAAAGTAGCTTTTCTATCTGCGGTTGTTCCATCACTGTTACACTTTAATATTTCAAAGTACAAGGTGCTATTAGCACAAGCAATTACCACTTGCCCTGTTCAACATTTCCAGGTATCATATTGTAATCTGTAAGTGAGGCGGCAGTATAAGTATAAGATATCTTGGTTATAGGTCACTGCACTGATGACGAATCGACTTAAGGAATGAATTCTGTTAAACGGATTAATCCATAATGATCTGTTATTAATAATATGTTAATATGTTATTAATAATCCCAATATAATAATAGACTTTAAAGATTGTGACGTTATTTATACAAACAGTAACAACGAAAGTGAAGGAAACGATCTCTAAAGAAATGGATAGCGCAATGAGAGTTGACGACACTATAGACGGTTTTATATTATGTTGTTGCTTAGCAACCAGGTGACGCTGAATGGTCCCCAAAAGACATGCATCGTATAAGACATTTAATGTGTTCTGTAATTCACACTTGATTTGTTTTCTGAGAAGCCATCAATGATTTCTGAGTCGCTCGCTGTCGCTTGATTTACGTTACCGTACATTTTTATAACATCACAGTTGCCGGGGACAGCCAATACATTTTTGGTCCTAACAGATAATATACGAGGTTGTTTACAAGACACTTAAAACGTCATGGGATTACTTCTGCAATCACACTGGGCGGACCTATTCAATTATCATGATGACAATTAAATCAAATTAATTTATTTAATAACCCACATGTAACCACACAACTGAAATATCAGGGGAGATACCATTATTACATGTTCCTATTCGAGCACTCTTTTTATTATTATTATTATTATTATTATTATTATTATTATTATTATATATGCTTATATAAGAAGAAGGGATATATATTTATCTGTTATATTATATAATATTCATAATTTCCCTAATTTTTTATCTATAATTAATCTCAATATATATTGATAATATTTAGATAGGCCTGCATGATGTTTTCTATGATATTTTATTGTATGGTATTTTTTAAAATTATATTTTATTTTATTTTTGCGTGTTTCAAGTGATTAGAAATTGGTGGGTAGTTTATCCTCATTCAAGATTGTTGAAAAATCATTCGCTTTTTCAAAATCACTTAAAAATCATTCATTACGATTGGCTCATTATCAATAGTGTCAATCAAATTAATTACAAACATAATAACTGACATATCAGGACGCGTTATTGAACAACCATGGACCTATTAATAATAGGTCCATGGAACAACCATGAATGTATACACATAACATAGGCATATGTCTATTTACAGTTGCTCAGTAAACAATATAAACAGACGTTAGTGTTTCGGATATAGTCATATAATATTGAACATTTACACGGAGAGGCATACAACACAATAACAGTTTTCCTAGAACCCGACTTTGTTATGGTAATATGATTATAATTATGCGCCGTAAGCGAATATCCGTCTTTATTGTTTGACAACACATTTACATACTGTAAATCAAACATTAAATAATGATAATAACAGATAAATCATGTCATATGAATTCCGTATGTTGGTTTGTTGATCTTTATATATAGGGCATAAGGCATATGGAGGGGTGGGGTTGCTTGTACAGTAGGCCTACATTGCTCACAGCAAAGTCATTTTTACCATCATCAGAATTAGCATCATCATCATCATCATCGGCATCATCAGTACCAGTATGAACATCATAACCATCATCATCATCATCATCATCATCATCATCATCATCATCATCATCATCATCATCATCATCATCATCATCATCATAATCATCATCATCATCATCATCATCATAATGATCATCATCATCATCATCATCATTATCATCATAATATTGACAATTTACACGGATATTCAAATTAATAAGAGTTTCATAGAACCCGAATTTGCTATGATGATTATAATTAGGCCTAGTAGTCTAGTGATGATGACGCCAGGCTAGTTATCTGTAGGTCGGGGGTTCGATTCCCTCCACCCGAATCACTTGTGATATTTTTTTTTCTCAAGTATTTGGGGACGTATTGAGTAATTGGTATAATAACACGTCAGGTAAGGCAAAACATCACTCCTAATAGTGATAATAATAACTAATACTATTTATTTACAGTATTTATAATAACCGTGATAAATAAATTACAATAATATATTTAGGCCTACTAAAAAATAGTATTATTATTTATAATAATAAGAATATATTATTAATAGACCGTACTTCGCAGTTAATTCTTAGTTCAATTAAACTTGCCATGCCTGTTATGATAAAGTACCTCTTTAAGAGCTACTTTCGATGTTGTGGCACCATTTATACTGAGAGCTAATTGTTATGTCCGGTTGATGTATAGGCTATTTGTCCATCTGATGTACGTTTATAGACACAGTACTTACATCACTAAATCAATTTTGCATTCGATCAAAAAATTGTGTGTAAAACTACAAAGGAAACTCAACAAGGTGTATAATATTCAAAATCGCACTATTGTTATCATAATTATGATCATAATGATTGGATGATGTTGATAATAGTAAGAATGACGATGTTGATGGTGTTAATGATTACTTAATAGGCCTATGCTGATTATTGGCTCTGTGTTAATTGTCAAGTGTTGTTATATAGAAGCAAACTTAAAACGCTGCCTTTATGAGCAGCGTTTGTTCAATAGTCAAAAACAGGATCCGACAGCAATAGTCATAAAAATATTGAAAATAAAGTCTTATTGATCTCTGTCATAAACAGAAACCCAGTGGCCCAGTTTGTTTGAACTCGAATCTTCTGCTTTATACGCAGAATAATCCATGGCTTGAGAATCTGAATTCGATTACAAGCAACTAATTTCACTCCCTTTGTATGCTTCCAGGGAGATGCAAAGCGATAACAGAGCTCCGATCATGGTACATATCGAACTATGTTTCCAATTTTAAAGTTATTCCTTTCACAAAAAGACTTTGCACTACATTTGCGAAAAGTCCAGGTGATAATGTACGATCTCCTGACCATCCACTTCATCCATTTCTTTTCCTGTCCCGTACAATGACCCTTCGTCACAAATATGATTCATCTTATTTTCCATTCCGTGGACACAAAATTCGATTCCTTCATTTAATATCCTATTTCACTCAATTTCGCTTGCGTTTTCTTTCCATCGCTCTTCTTAATAATAATAATAATAACAATAATAATAATATTAACAATAATAAAAATAATAGTAATAATAATAACAACAACAAAAACAGCACCAGCACCAGCAGCAGCACCAACAGCAGCAACAGCAGCAGCAACAGCAGCAACATGCAACAACTCCAACAGCAACAACATCTGCAGCACCAGCAGCAAAAGCAACAACACCAACAGCAACAACAACAGCACCAGCAGCAGCAACAGCAACAACAACACCAACAGCAACAACAACAGCACCAGCACCAGCAGCAACACCAACAACACCAACAACACCAACAGCAACAACACCAACAGCAACAGCACCAGCAGCAACAGCAACAACACCAAAATCAACAACAACAGCACCAGCAGCAGCACCAGCAGCAGCAACAACAACAACAGCAGCACCAGCACCAGCAGCAGCAACAACAACAACAGCACCAGCACCAGCAGCAACACCAACAACACCAACAGCAACCACAACAGCAACAGCAGCACCAGCAGCAACAGCAACAACACCAACAGCAACAACAACAGCACCAACAGCAACAGCAGCATTACCTCCGCCCGATCAAATCCCTTTCTATAAAATCAATCAAATGTGTTCCTAATTTACTTCAAGCAACACCAACCCAACTTCACTGTCGGCCTACTTTTCACTACACGTTTTTGAACACAAAACCCAAGCAACATATTGTAGGCCTATTTAAACATTTTATTTGTTAACTACTGACACTGTAAAAATGCCCTTAAATTCACACCTGAATTTGGATTGTAACAAAATTTAATAATGCCTTCCTTGTAACTTTG